ACTTACAGAACATTCCCCCATATCTGATCATTGCCCTGATAAAGATGAAACTCTCTTAATTTATGATGAGTATTTACCAACTAATGAACCCAGCATCTCGAGTAATCAGTATAGCATGCGTAAGCCATAATAAGTTCATATATGCAAGTGATAAAGATGTGATAAAGCTCACACGACTGATTGATCTGGCAATCTTCATAAGCATACATAGCACATTAATTCTACGCTGGTTGAATCACATATTTAAAAACTTGACAACGTTTCAGGAAATAGATAATATTTATTACGAGACTGAATACCGGAGAGAATGGTGCAGCAGCAAGGGTAAACCATCCACATGCTTCCTTTTTGCGAGAAAATTTACTCGACCTGCAGCTCGACGGCTTCTTAACATGGTGAGTTTGTTTATCATGGTAAAAGTGATACAACAAGCTTCGGCTCGTTTACACTAGAACCGTCCTACTCCAAAGTTGAGAGTTCCGAGTTTGAACCCCAGTTGAAGCCAAGATAAACTCCAAATTCATAAAAAAGGATACAATGGGCTTTCAGATATAGACTTAATATAGTTTGCGGAGTAGCTGGACTTGGCTGACTTTTATTGTTTTTATCATTAAGTATTAACAAGTGCAACTTGCTCATTGTTTCCTGCTGCTTTGTTCGCAGTCTGTACTTGGAGTTAGCGGTTAAATGACAGCAAAATGCTCGTGATAATGCCCATTGAGAGGCTGAATATACAAGCTCAGAAAAAGGAAATTTAATATTAAGACTAGATGAATATTATTGACGAGTATGTTGGTTTGTACATTGAGATTTAGATTTAGAAAGCTATAAAAGAGTTCATGCGGTGTATATGTGTACAATATTTCGATACCAAACTCACAGAGAGAATGAAATAAAATTGGAGGTGTTCGTTCCTCAGCTTTAGTCTGAGGTGAGTTTTAGACTAAATTTGTAGTGGAACAAAAGCTCGAGTCTGATTCCAGTTCAACATATTATGTACACAGAGTCATCAGCATTCAATACATGATATAAAATTTATAGAAAATCGTATGATTCTTACTTGTGTTATTTCTCTCAGGGATCCAAGCAATTTTTTCCCCAAATTTTTACCCATTAATTTCAACAGGATTTGAATGTTAAACAAGTGTAAGTATAAATTTTAATAATCGTTCTATTGCAGAATACTGTCATGATTTTTCGTCTCTCACTCTTTTCTATTTTTATTATCTTCGGTCTTAATTATAAAATTTTATTTGTAGTCTATAATTAAAGTCTTATAATTAGGAATGGAGTTCGTATTTAACAATCTTCTGCTCTGGAGGAAAGAATAGTAAAGGAAATCTGCTGCCTGTCAGTTATTACTTTGTCGCCACATCTAACTTCTTCTTCTTCCTTCTTTTTTTTTTGGCTTGATCGTCACATCTAAGGCTAGTAACATATAACATTAACAAATCTTTATCCATTGACCATTGTGGCCCTGAGAAAAAAAAAAAAAGTCGTCAGCAACCATGTTTGCTCATTTTCTATTTTGTACAAGTTTCAAATGCATTTAAACAATTCCAAACCATGCCCAGCCGACACAGCTTCTTCCACGAATGAAATAAGAGGATATTTGAGTCAAATGTAAAGGAAGGAGAATTTGAAGACCCTATCCCAGTGATACAAGTGTGGCGTAGTATTGGTCCACCCCGCAAGTAGTGGAAGCTTCCAAGCAAGGGTTAATTAAAAATTAACAACGGTGTTTACGCGTTAACGCCCCTTGATCTCAGGCAAGGATACTACTACTATAATATTGCTAACACCAACACTGCCCTTCGGTTGACAGTTGCACCCATCCATCTATCGCCCCTTATCCGCTCCGCGCTTTACCCACCTAGGCACCGACCATTTCCTTTATTATTTTTTAATTTTATTAGTTATGAGTGTTAATTAATAATATCTCCCCCATCTTTACTTCTTTTCCCTTCTCTCTCGCTTTGCCTTGCCACGTGCTCCCCCCTCGTTTCTTCTTTGACTTTGACTCTTCCTAACTGTTTCCAACTAACTTACTGCTCCTAACCGTTCTCAGTTCCCCGAATCCCACTCACCTTTCTGGGCTCTTTAGCTGCTGCTCATGCTATCATCCTAATGAAGATAAAAATATATTAACTCTATTTCTAATTATAAAATCTTATTTATAGATTATAAATAACGTTTTATAGGACCGGTGGTAGTATGTATGTATTTCACTCATTAATTAAAAATTAAAGCCCTTCAAATTTTGGTTATATACCACGAGCTTTCACTACAGATAAGCCTCTGAAATAAAAAATATAGATCAGCCGAAGGGTGAAAAATTAAGACCAGCAGGTTTCTTATAAATCTGCGATAAATCACTTAATTAATGTTTGTCCTGAATAGGTCGGCCCCTACACATTTGAAAATTAGACAGACAGATTGTTTACCTTCTCTCTCTCTTTCTCTATCTATCTATCTATATATATATATATATAATAAGTGGAAGTGGAATGCATGTGTACTAGTGCGTGATCAAACATGCAAGGTGATAAAATATTACTTCTGATCTTGAATATAAAAGTTAGTTTATTAAGTTGAATAGATTAAAAAAATAAGTTAAATTAGTTATTTGTAATAAATAGGTATTATTTTTTATAATATATACTTGTTAGTCAAATTGATTGGCCGAACTAACTTTATTAGAAGAATTATCTTTAAAAAAATTAAATATAAAAAACGAAATAGATCTAAATTTTATATTTAGAATTAAAATAAAAATCAGACAATGTCTAATATTAAAAAAACAGTGCTAGTAATATACATCTTGTTTGCTTCTGCCAGGAATATAAAGTGTCAGTTCACAATGCTAGTAGCCGTGATCTTCAAACATCATATTGCCATGTAATAAGTTTCCATGTTCAGATGAGCGGGCACATATATTATTTATATATATTAGTTCAAACAACATTTGAGAGTGCTGGTGAAAAAAAAGAAAAACAACATCTGGGAGACTCAAGCTCACCCAGCACGAGTCAAGATATTGATTTTACTTGTGCTAATTTTCATTTCGTACTTTTTCATTATGGCCATATTTTATCAAAACAGAATAATACTACCTCTGATACTTAATACAAGAACTAATTGATTAATTTGAGTAGATACAAAATTAATTAATTAAAATAAATAAATATTTTTTAAAAACATTCTTATGTATTGGTTAAAATTATCATTATTATAAGGATTATTTTAGGACAAATAGATAAACATAAGAAATAAAATAAATTATAATCTTATATTTAAAATTAACATAAAAATCAAACAAATTGTTATATTAAATACTGAAGGTAGTGCTTAATATATATTTCGGTGATCACATAAATTCGTTGGCAAAAAAAGAAAGATCATAGAAACTGGGGGGTCTGGGGCGCAGTATAGTGAAAAAAAAAATCGTAATCTTCGATAAAACCTCAGTAATCATGTTTGGCCCCTCCACGTTCATTGCTTCGGTACACGTATTATACTAATATGTCTCCACGTGTCAGGGACCTCGGGTACAACAGTGACAACGCCGGATATGAAGGGTCGGTGAACAGTGGGCCACAGCATCACCCGTAGTAGTTGTCGGTGCATTCATCCCCCGAAATTTAGGACGCTGAACAGCTACCAGAAAAATCTTTTATGGTGTGGGAAAAAAGAGAAAAGGAAAAAGTAGTCTAGAAAGGGGCCCGCGTTGAATAGAGGCTGTTCTCAATGGGAACCGTAAAAAGAGGGCCCCACTGAGCCCACTCCTTTTTTTTAATGACCACAGAAAAATCTCAATTGGGGGCCCACAAGAGAAGCGTGTAACGGGTCGGGTTGGGAGACATAAAAATTAAGATGTACTCCGTCGCTTTTTAAGGAGCGTATTTTACAAGTAAAAGCATACAGATGACTCTAGAAATTATTTAGACGTAAATGATAAAACATTGCAATTACTAGCCCCTTAAAGATTTAAAATTGAGTTTTGTGAGTGAAAAAAATAAAAAATAAAAATTCGAAGAGTACCTTTCGTCTCAGCTCTCAAGCCTGATTCCACCAACAAATAAAAGGAAAACTTCTCAATTAGTAGTAATCAATTCATTTATATGAAACAGGATCTCCCTAATTTGATTTTATTCGATCTGGTCACTTTTATCGATATAGTCACTTTATTTTTTTTCTGTTTATTACGATGCGAAAACAATCTCACGGTGAATCTAATTATTTCTGAACAAAGCCAATCAATCTAATTCAATTTTGATTGGTTTAAATATAATTGGAGAATCTTTAAATTATGCCTTCTTAGTGCGCATCGGTTTGAAAAATAAACGGGTCTTTAAATTACCAGCACATCATATGCTGCGTCCTGAAGGATATGGAGAGAAATGTATGGTCATCTATATTTTCTCATGTCACTTTCTCATTAGTTATGAAATTATCAGGTGGAGCAGTGATAAAATGGTGAGATGGATGCTTATTGATATTGATTTATATGACATAATAAGGGTAGTTTAGGATTCAAGTTTTAAGGGAGAATTGTTATGAAGGCTTAAATAAAAAATATAATTACTAAAAAGTCTCAAATAAGTAATAATAAATTTTAGAGTAAAATTTATTGATTTTTTTTTTTAAGGGACCCGTTATGATCATCCCTTAGCCCCCCGCGTCAAGGTTGTTTACTGCGTGCCAATTACCAAACACACCCGGTTTACCGACGACTTATTCTGACGGGCCCACTTCGAAAGACTTCAATATAATATCACCTTGCCTTCCCCGACCGGATAATAGAGATATTGACATTTTTCAAGGAATTTCACATTTTCATAGCAAAGTAAGAAGAGACCAGACATGATTTTTTTATAATAAAAAGTAATATAAAATAGGAAACGACATTTTCAAACCACACTCCTTCGCCTCGGCTTCCCAGTGGTAACTGTGTGGCCTCCCTCTATAAATACTACCCCACTCAACCTCTTGAAGCAGCATCACAAAACAGGCAACTTTTGATTCACTTCACCATCCAACAATCACTCTCATACCAATCTTCTCAAAATCTCTGATTTGTATATATAATCACTCATCTTCTCTGATTCTCTCCTCCAAAAACATCCCACTAATTGATTTCAGCTTTCAGTCTCTACTCAATCCTTCTGTCTTCTTTCTTCATCTGTATATTTAACTAAACCCTCCAAAATAACCAAACCCTGCGTTGTTCATTCTATATATCTCAGAAGTCCTCTGTTTTCTGACATCGTTACAGTACTATAATGGCTCCTCCAAGTTTGAGCAAATCCTCCTCCAATTTTACCAAGTACGTTGATGGCTTCAACCCTTCACCGTTTCGCATACACGGGTCAAACCTACTGGTCAAAGACCACGTTGTTCTCTCCGACGTGCCTGAAAACATCACGGCCATTCCCTGTTCCTACACATCCACCACCCCATCCCTCTCCACCTCCGGCTGCTTCATCGGCTTCGACGCTGCTAACGCGAGCAGCCGCCATGTGGTCCCCATAGGAAAACTCAAGAACATAAGGTTCATGAGTATTTTCAGGTTCAAAGTCTGGTGGACCACCCACTGGATCGGCTCCAACGGGCGAGACCTTGAGACCGAGACCCAGATGATCATGCTCGACAAGTCGGACTCGGGTCGGCCATACGTCCTCATACTCCCCATCATAGAGGGTCCGTTCCGGGCTTCAATCCAACCGGGTGAAGACGACAACATCGACGTCTGCGTCGAGAGCGGGTCCTCTCAAGTATCCGGTGACTCATACCGCAGCGTCGTTTACCTACATGCCGGCGAAGACCCGTTCAGTTTAATGAAGGAGGCGATGAAGGTCGTGAGAGCCCATCTCGGCACGTTCAATCTCCTGGAGGAAAAAAACCCTCCTGGCATCGTCGACAAGTTTGGGTGGTGCACATGGGACGCATTCTACCTTACGGTGCACCCGCAGGGCATATGGGACGGCGTTAAGGGTCTCGTCGACGGCGGGTGTCCTCCGGGACTCGTCCTCATCGACGATGGATGGCAGTCCATCTGTCACGACCGGGACCCGATAGCCAAAGAAGGCATGAACCACACCGTCGCCGGCGAGCAAATGCCATGCAGGCTCATCAAGTACGAAGAGAATTACAAGTTCAGAGAATACGTGAGTCCCAAGAGGTCAGGTTGTTCAGGGGAGAAAGGTTTGGGTGCGTTCGTGAAGGATTTGAAAGAGGAGTTTAAGACCGTTGATTATGTTTACGTCTGGCACGCGCTTTGTGGGTATTGGGGTGGGCTCAGGCCCAACGTCCCAGGGCTGCCGGAATGTGTGGTGGAGAAGCCCAAATTGTCGCCGGGACTCGAGACGACGATGGAGGATTTGGCCGTCGACAAGATCGTGAATAATGGTGTGGGCCTGGTCCCCCCGCATATGGTCGATCAGATGTACGAAGGGCTTCACTCCCACTTGGAGGCCTCCGGGATAGATGGGGTGAAGGTCGATGTCATCCATGTAAGTTACTAATTACAATTCCATTTTCATTTGTCAACTTATTGTTTAATTCTAAACCTACCATTCTAATGGCCCAAAAAAAATCGACCGCTCTTGTGAGGTGGAGAGGTGTCACTTTTAAGTAATTGTGTGCCCCTACGTGTCAAATCTTAAAGCTTTCTTGAGGCTTAAAATTGAAGCGGCAAGCTGTAGGTCCATCTCTCATCTCATCTCCGTGCATGTGTCTGCTTTTGAATGTATAGCTCACAATACGATGCCAGAGAATTCTAGTTCTAGTTCATTTTAACTTCAATTACTTTTTTTTTTTCCTTTCTTTCTCTTAAATCCCTTGGTTTTGGTTTTACTTTTACTTTGACCCTTTTTGGTCGGCACGAAATCTCATTGATGTGTTTTTTTCCCCCTTTTTTTAAAATAAACGGGACATTGATTCTATTGAATATGGAAAACAGTTGTTGGAGCTGGTGTGTGAGAAATACGGTGGACGTGTTGATTTGGCGAAAGCATACTACAAGGCGCTCACAGCTTCAGTGAGAAAACATTTCGGCGGCAACGGTGTGATTGCCAGCATGGAGCATTGTAACGATTTCATGTTACTTGGAACTGAAGCCATATCTCTCGGTCGTGTCGGTACGTCCCTTTCCCACCTCACACTTTTAATTCATTTTGAATTGTTATAATCGGTATGTCATGGTTGATTTGTGTGGAGCAGGGGATGATTTCTGGTGCACTGACCCTTACGGTGATCCAAACGGTACGTTTTGGCTGCAAGGATGCCATATGGTGCACTGTGCTTACAACAGCTTGTGGATGGGCAACTTCATCCACCCGGACTGGGACATGTTTCAGTCCACTCACCCCTGCGCCGCCTTCCACGCCGCCTCTCGAGCCATCTCCGGCGGACCCATCTACGTCAGCGACTCCGTCGGCAAGCACAACTTCGACCTCCTCAAGACCCTCGTCCTCCCTGATGGCTCCATCCTCAGGTGCCAGCACTACGCCCTTCCCACTCGAGACTGTCTCTTCTCCGATCCCCTCCATGATGGCAAAACCATGCTCAAGATATGGAACCTCAATAAGGTCTGTCTCACTCCCATGTTGCTCTTGTTAATCTAACCAAAACATGTCCCTTCTAGAATCTCACGGTTCTCTTGCTGAAACAGTTCACTGGGGTGATCGGGGTTTTTAACTGCCAGGGAGGAGGGTGGTTTCCTGAAACCAGAACCACCAAATGTGCTGCTGAATGTTCGCATTTGGTGTCAACCAAAACAAAGCCTCAGGATATAGAGTGGAAGAATGGCGACAACCTCGGCATTTCCATCGAAGGAGTGCAGGTTTTTGCCATGTATTTCCATCAGACCAAGAAGGTCATCTTGTCAAAACCATCCGATGCTGTTGAAATTTCCTTGGAGCCCTTCAATTTCGAGCTCATTACTGTCTCTCCGGTGACCGTCTTGTCCGGGAAATCTGTCCATTTTGCTCCGATTGGTTTGGTGAACATGCTGAACAGCGGAGGGGCTATTCAGTCGCTGGCTTTTAATGAAGACCAGAGCGTGGCTGAAGTGGGAGTGAAAGGTAGTGGAGAGATGAGGGTTTTTGCTTCAGAGAGGCCAAAAGCTTGCAGGATTGATGGGAAAGAAGTTGAGTTTCAATATGAAGAGGGCATGGTCGTAATTCAAGTACCATGGCCTGGTTCTTCCGGACTCTCCCTGGTTCAGTACACATTCTGAATATGGGGTGTCAAGAAATACTGATTATTATTATTATTTTGTTTTCAATCATGATTGTTAATAGACAATGATTTTGATTAGGGGGGCCTTTTTTATCCCTTGCCTAAAGTGGTGTTCTTTTATATCTCGTGAACAAGTGATTTGAATATTGTTTGTAATTCGTGGTGTTATTTACTATTTGGCCCGAAATCTTATAGATTTGTTTAACCGAAATGGCAGACTTGGAGTTCGAAGCTATGAATATCTCTTCAATCAGCCTCGTATTCGATCCAGTAATGTTATGGTTCCTGCACCTTATATTGCAGCAATGGTCATCGTTGTTATTTCATTGGTTTAGCAAGACATGCACCTGTGCAATTTAGGCATATTCTCAAGACATTTGGAAAATAAACTGCTCTCGAATAAGAATTCGACTTTTTAATATTAGGCTACGTTCCGAAAAACCAAACCCTGCGGCACCCAATCCTGCTAGGTGTCTTCGAAAGAAAAGAAATGGAAAATACAACACATACACACGCATATGGGCTGCTAATGGTCGGCCCTTAACCCATAGAGCCAGGTTAGTGGGCTCTTTCTGGGCCCATTAAGTTGTTGGGCTTACCATAAACAGACAGCCGCGACAAAAATTCCATTAGTGCCACTCAAGGACCAAAGTCTCTTCCGTCAAATTACAGTTATCTAAGAAAGGTGCTCTTGCATTTTTTTTTTTGAATAAGAAGATGCCTATATTTTAGGGGGGGAAAAATTACAGTTATCTCTGACCCAAAAAATGTACAGTTATCTATCTAATCCATTTTCTTTCTATGTATTTTTCCTTTCCAAACCCAACTCCTGATGGTTAAACTTAAACTAATGAGGTCAATTTCTGTTATCTTACTCAATACACATTTAATTTTACAAAAACATTAAATTCACGCTAAAATTGATTTAAAATTAAATCAAGATAAATCAGGTAGAAAGTGTCTTAAAATTTGATTCATTAAGTGAAGGACTTCTTAGTTCAATGACACTTCACACCTCCTCTGTTGTGGGTTCTATACTCACAAGAACTAAAATGCATGGGTGTGTGAGCCTCCTTTTCTGCAGGGGAGGGGGTTAATTGTGTAAGTAAAAAAATCCAAATAATAAAATTTAAAATCAATAATAATATTTTTTTTGACTAGGGGAATCAACAAAGATGATTACCTACATTTTTACTCGAAAAAATGATAAGATGATTGTATATTAGACATGCTTTTTAAATTCATCCAGCTTTTTTGTTGTTGATAATTACCTTTGTTAAATATTTCGTAATTTCGTAAATAATTAAATAACAGAGCAAACGAAGCGAAAAAGCCTTGCGAGCCTTTGGAAAAAAAAAAAAAACAGAAGGGAAAAACCCTTGGGCGAGTCCGCGGAACTATTGTTCTGGCCTGAAAGAGTACATTGAAGGTTTGGTTCCCTCACGTCGGCATCATCACTGAGCCGTGGTTGTCGGGTTCTTCCGGTTATTTCACACGAACAGCAACACTAGCTTCTCCCCGAAGAAAAGCCCAGAAAATTTCAAAATTAAATAGCCTAGCATCTCTGTTTTACTGGTTTTGCGTGTGAAGAGCGGTCTGGGAATCCATGAATACGACACCGTTCATGGATAAGCAGATTATGGATCTAACCCAAGGATCGTCTTCGAGCAAGGATTTCATCGACCTGATGAGCCGTCCTAAGGAGGAAGAAAAGGCAGACGCAGAAGGTGAAGCTCGCCGTGGCAGCCACCACCAAATCGGTGGTAATGGGATTAAGGAGGGTATCATTCCCAGTTACGATTTCCAGCCGATTCGCCCACTCGGAGCTTCGACCCAGTCTTCCAATCACGATTCCAGCCCTAATATGGGAGGGATTTCGAGGTCTTGGAATTCTGACTCCAAGTCTAACTTTTCCACCCCAATCCTTAGAGTAAGAACCCCCTTCTCCTGCCCTAATTTACTCATATTCTTTATTTCAGGTCTTTTGTCCTTAAGTCTTTCAATCTTTCGCGTATTTGCTGATAGGGATCCCTTTAGATGAGAACTTTTGTATATGTTTTCAAGACTGTTGCTAAATTCTGATGTTTGGGCTTCTGCGGTTGGCTTTTAGACTATAATGTCTATGAATAAAGGCTTGCATCGTTTGGTAATTTGTTTTGGGTGCTTGTCTCTGATAGCTGATACTCTGAACTGAATGTGGTTACTTTCATGTTGGTGTTTTTACTAACTTCTTAAAATAAGAGTTAACGTCTGGATCGAATTGTTGATGGCTTCGTGCTACTTTTTTAATTTTGATCTTGAAATAGGTTTCATATGCGGGCCACTTATTGAGCATGAATTTGCTTTGTGCCTATCTAGTTCTATTGCACGCATTTTGTATTGCCAAAAATTTTTTCTTAGCGTTCCAGGGTTTCGTGTACTTGGATAATATGTTGATTATATGTTTTTATGATCGTGATTTAATGTCTTCTCTTAATGTTAAGCTGTTTTCCTTCCGTTGTGCAGAATTATAATTCTCTGGACTCTCTTGAACCTGCAAAAGTCACAGTGGAAAAGGATCAAAATGCCTTTGATGCTGCAATACTGTCTGAGATAGATCAAACCATGAAGAAGCATATGGAGAATTTGCTTCATGTGCTGGAAGGCATCGGTGCAAGATTAACACAACTAGAAAGCAGAACCAACCATCTTGAAGATTCTGTGGATGAGTTGAAGGTGTCTGTTGGAAACAACCATGGTAGCACTGATGGGAAAATGAGACAGCTCGAGAATATCCTTAGAGAGGTATTTTTTGTAATCATATTATTCCCTTTCACTCTTCTTAGTTATAGCTTTGATTTAGCGGCATTTGATGATAATGAATGCCTATGGTGGATGGAAAGGACATGATATTTGCGAGTTCTGGAAAAATTACGCTAGTAAGAATTATGGATGTTAACAATTTTGACTACCATGATCTCTCAAAATATTTCCTGGTTCAACTGCTTAATAGGTATTGACTAGCATTTTTTCCCAACCTAAATCAGCACTGGAAAGTAATTGTAATTTGGGTATAATTATATAATATCATCCTCGTCCTGAATAATTTTTTTTCCTGGGCCTCTAAATTTTCCCGAACAACTTTCTTGTTGAATAAAAAAATCCAAAAATTTTCTATTGCCCTTTCTGATTCAGGGGGTGTTTGGACGGAATCAAAACTATGATTTTAAAAGTGCTTTTACGGTATACGAAGTAAATATGTGGAGGAGTTTATTTCGATTTGCAGAAAAGTGCTTCTAAGAAGCAGTTTTTATGGTGCCCAAACACCCCCTCAATGTATTTTTGCCTAAGCAAGTAATGGTATGTTGTTGTACGAGAAGCTTAGCAACTATGCAAATATGAATTTTGCCTGTCCCCTGACTTTTTTTTCTTGATCTTAGTATATAGTATTCTGGCTGACAAACGGATGGTGGGTGATTTCTTTCCGGATTGTAATTGTATTCTTTGATTTCGCTCATGTTTGATAATTTATTTCTGGCCACGGGTTGGTTCTCTTATCTTCTTCTTCTTCTTTTTTCCTCCCTCTAATTCCTCCCTGAGAAATTCTAAGTTTCAGCCATGAGAATGACTTTGCTTTGAGCTAGGCTCATGGCTTTCTTCAAGGGAATCTGCATTTCTGATATGCAAAGAGATTGGGCAACTCTTTTATGTAGTCATCTTCCTGGGCCTTTGTCTCATTGTTCTGTTCGCTGTGTTTATTTTCTGATTTTAGAATTTCTTATCCTCAATTTGTTCTTCCTCCCGTTTCTAATGCATATAAGTTCATGGGAAAAAACTTGTAAAGTAACTACCGGGTTACTTTCCTTTTTCATTACCTTGTTTGACGAAAAGTTTTACAAAATGTACAGGTGCAAATGGGTGTACAAGTTTTAAAGGATAAGCAAGATGTGATGGGAGCTCAACTGCAGCTGGCAAAGCTACAAGTGTCCAAGGTGGACCAACATTCAGAAACTCAGGCTAGTGTAACTACAGATCCTGTACAGCAAACTGCATCGGCTTCTCAGCAATTGCAACAACAGCTTCCTTCCCCTGTTAATCTTCCACAATCAGTTGCTGCGGTCCCTCACCCTAATGCTCCTCCTCAACCTCTGTCCCAACAGGGTGTGCCACCTCCAGTTCAACTTCCTAATCAATTTCCTCAGGCCCAAATTCCTTCTGTTCCTCAGCGAGAACCTTACTTCCAACCACCACCTCAATCTCACGAGACCCCAAATCAGCAATACCAATTGCCTTTATCTCAACAGCCCCTTCCTCCTCCTGGGGCACCTCCACAACAGCAATATCAACAAAACCCTCAACCTCAGTACCCTCAGCCTGTACCTCATCCACCTCAACAGCAGCCATCACCTTCTCCTGTCAGTCCCCCGCCGCAACTCCCATCTTCAATGGGTCACCATGTGGAGGATGCGTCTTATATTCCTCCTCAGAATTATCCACCCAATGTCCGCCAACCACCATCCCAGCCACCACCCAGTGGGCCACCTCCTGCCCAGCAATTCTATGGACCGCCATCCCATGCCTTTGAACCACTCTCTAGTAGATCTGGTTCAGGTTTTTCTTCTGGGTATAGTGCACCATCTCTACCTGCTGAGCCATATCATTACGGTGGATCGCCTCAGTATGGTGGCACTTCAGGGCTAAAACCACAGCTGCCTCCTTCAGCTGTGGCTCCTCCAAGTGGGGGAAGTGGTTACCCTCAGCTTCCTACTGCTCGTGTGCTGCCCCATGCATTGCCTACAGCTTCAGCGGCAAGTAGCAGTTCTGGATCTGGTGGAAGTGGAAATCGGGTCCCCATAGATGATGTGGTTGACAAAGTGGCAAGTATGGGATTCCCTAGAGACCATGTGAGGGCAACAGTTCGAAAGCTAACAGAGAATGGTCAAGCAGTTGACCTCAATGTAGTGCTGGATAAGCTTATGAACGAAAGTGATATCCAGCCAAGAGGGTGGTATGGTCGGTAGCAAGAGGGAAATTGACGTATATCTACATGTATAGAAGCACCACTTGTTCCTGGGTAAAAATTTAGGGGAAAGGAAGGAGGCTTGCTTCATGATTGGATTGTGCCACATTGGATGCTTTGACTTTTATTTCTTTCTCGATTTGTTTTGTTGGAGACTTGAAACTGGTCTTTTGCCTTGCATATCTGAGACTCATCTGTTACTCTTTTTTTGGCACTATGTATATTCAAATAAGTGATAGTGGATTTTTTTAAAACGACTTGGGCCGTTTTAGTTATGCCGTTTAAATATAGTTAGTATGCTGCCTACAGGATATCCCAAATTGCTGTATGGGGTACTTTGATTCGGGGCAAGGTCAGGTGGCCCAGTGACCTGTGATGTTTTGTATTGGGTAGGTAACTACCTTCTGTAGCACTGAAGCTTCGGCTTGCCTTCTTAATATTAATATGTGTGTGTGTGTGTGTGTGTAGTGTTAGTATGCTCCTCATGCATTGCGCGGGGGAAGATGAAGAAATCGGTGCCGTAAATTATGGAAGAAATGTTGGTACTGAGATTTGATAACCAGTGTCTTCTCCTGGAACGAGTTCTCACTTCATCACATGGGGATTGGAATCCAATTCGTACAGTTAATATGTAATTCTCTACTATTCTCATTATAAGCTATTTAATAAATTTGGTTGGATAAATTAAGAAAGTTAGATATTAATTAATTATTTATAACAAATGTGACTTGCAAGTCAGGTATAATAGTTTGTGAAAAAATATGATAATGATGCTGTTTAAGGGTGTAAAAGCTGAGAGGTATTCTCTTTAAATAATTTAATTTGAATCTAAATTCATAGTAAATGAGTATAGAAAGATGGTGAAAAAAAGTCTTTAGTGATAATTTACATTTTTTTTTGGTTATTTCTGTTTAACAATATTTACTTTTATTTGTTTATTACTTTTTTTGGTTTAGTGATAATTTACATTTTTAGATTTGTCTTTGGTAATAATATTTATTTGTTTATTACTGAGCAGTGCTTGGGATACGTAGCCTTTGTCCTTTGACATGCAATGCAAGTAGTCACCGGTTGTACCTGTAAGCTACTGGGCTTTGGCTTCTTTTTTCTTTTCAACAAAAAATACTAGTTCTGGTCTTTAATATAAAAACTAATTAATTAATTTAAATATATTTAAAAAATTATTTAAATTAGTTATTTGTAATAAATATGTATTATTTTTCTTAAAATATCCTTAATAATCAAATATATTAGTTAGAATTACTGTTATTACAGGAATTATTTTTTAAAAAAAAGATAAATATAAGAGACAAAATAGATTGATATTTTATATTTATTAAAAAGCAGAGAGAGCTAGTAGAAACATTTATAGCCGGGGGAGGTACTCGGCCGACAAAGATGCGTGAACATGACATGGTCTTTCCCTTCAGATTATTGTATCCTTCGTTACGGTACTAAAATTTGGAACGTTTCTTCAACAACCTCAAGACTTGACAAGCGGCACAATTATACTCTTGAGAAGAAATTAAGGCAACGAGAAAAACTCCAACTAGTTTCAGGTATTTGGTAAAGATACTTCACTAATAAAATATTTATCGTCGTTGAAAAATTAAAACGGACTAGGTCTTGTTCGTCTTCGTGCAAGTAAAATATCGACCAGATCAACGCCTCCTCCTGCAGCTTATAAATACACCTCGCTGCCATGCAACGATCTCATCCCTCACAATCAGCAAATTACACACAAAAAACCAAGATTTGCTATATCAGATCAAAGAGAAAACATGAAAGCTTGTTGCCTGATCCTTATTGCCTTCTTGGCTCTCTCATCTTCTGCTGTCTTTGCTTTTGATCCTAGCCCACTTCAAGACTTCTGCGTTGCCATCAACGAAACCAAAACTGGTGGTGGTACGTATTAATTATCAGCTTTCCTAACTCCTTTTCCATTATGACATATGACACATCATCTTTCCTTTATTTTTACATGCAGTTTTTGTGAATGGGAAGTTCTGCAAAGATCCCAAGCTTGTCTCTGTCAATGATTTCTTCTACGGCGGACTGAAACAAGGAGACACATCTGGTCCGCTCGGATCAGCAGTGAGCCCTGTTACTGTAAACGAAATCCCAGGGCTCAATACTTTGGGCATATCATTGGCTCGCATAGACTTTGCCCCAAAAGGCTTAAACCCTCCACACACCCATCCTCGAGGCACTGAGATTCTTGTGGTTTTGGAGGGTACTCTTCTGGTGGGTTTTGTTACGTCCAACCCAGAGAATCGCTTATTCACCAAAGTACTGCACAAGGGAGACGTGTTTGTGTTCCCAATTGGTTTAATTCACTTCCAACTCAACGTGGGTTATGAAAATGCAGTCGCCATTGCTGGTTTGAGCAGTCAGAATGCGGGAGTCATCACCATTGCGAATGCTGTGTTCAAATCAGACCCTCCAATTTCTGCTCAAGTTCTCACCAAGGCTTTTCAAGTGGATAAGAACATAATTGTTGCTATTCAGAAACAGTTGTGAATAGAAAATATATAGTTGAAGAAAGAAAAACTAGCTATTCATTCACATTTCATGTATTGATTGGATTATTGTTTGTAATAATTTGTTTCTGTTTGCCTATTGTAATAGTGTATGGATCCTTGCATCTTATTTTTCACGTTTGAATAAAAATAAGCGATATACACGCTGATTAAGTTATGCCTTTACACGTACTAATTCCGATCTTAATTATAAGAACTAGTTGACTAATTTGAGGAGATTAAAAAAATAAGTTAAGTTAGTTATTTGTGATAAATATGTGTTGTCTTTCTTAAAATATCCTTGCTAATCAAGTGTATTAGGTAGAATTACTATTATTAGAAGGACTATCTTAGAAGAAAAAAAAAGCATAAATATGAGAGACAAAGTAGATTGGAGTCTTATAATTAGGACCACAATAAAAGTCAAGTGAAATCTTATATTAAGGACCGGAGATAATATTTTGAAAGCCAAACGGCAATATTATATTGAGGGCCAAAGTTCTATTGGTCTCTCTCAGCAAATTAAGCGTATGCATTTAGCAGGAAGATACTAGCATTTTTCTACTTCTACCAAGTAACCCTACTTCAACGGAAATTTAGTTCTGATTTATGAAAACCGAAGGAGAAGAAATAACTTGTGATCAAACATATATGTCAGTTCTGATTTTGATTGCTACTACCTTTAGTCCTAAATATAAGAGCTAGTTGACTAATTTGAGTAGGTTAAAAAAGTAAGTTAAGTGAGTTATTTATAATAAATAGATGTTGTCTTTCCTAAAATATCTTTATCAATCAAATTTATTAACTAGAACTACCATTATTATAAGGACTGTTTTTAAAAAAATGGATAAATATGAGAGACAAAGTAGATGAGGGTCTTATATTTAGGATCAAAATAAAAATCAAATAAAATCTTATATCAAAGATCAGAGATAATATATATGTATTGTCTATTGGATCTCACAATGCTTAATTATTTTGTGATTATTTATTGCGCCTGCCTGGATCTCCGTAAATCAGAAAACATGCCTAGGAACTCGCAAAACACATACTAGTACATCATTTTTTGAAGTTTCTGAGTTGTTTGGATGGGCTTTTTATCCAACAAACGTTTAACGAAAAAGTTGAGTGCAGTGAAACGCAACCAATAATAGGGTTCTTTTGGAATAGCTTATAAGTAGTTTTTAATAATGAATTATGGAATACAAGACAAGAATATGAGATGAGTTTTATCTCAACTTATATGAAACGTGTTTATAAAAGATTTCTTAAGTCCTTCCAAACAGGCCCATAGTTTCGTCAGCATAACCTACATATGTCAAAAAGAAAAGGTCCTGGTCAAAAAAAAAAAGAAAAGAAAAGGAAAAATTAAAAAAATGATGTTTGTTCATGTCATCATTTCTTGTTAATTTATTTGGATATATTATTGTTGATGCAACTCGCCTTTAAAATAACAACACATTGTCACGTTGATGTTGAATATGTTGGCATTAAATTATATATATACTAGTAGTTCTTAATTATCAAATATTTTCAATTATGTGACGACACATAAATAAAAGTAGAACTAATTTCCACTTTCTTAGTGTATCCAAAAAAATAAAATCCACTTTCTGTATACACTATCGACGTTGTGCTTTCATGGTTAATTAATATTCACATACCTTGCCAGCTTGCCATATGCATCATCTCACACGGTAGATGAAGAAATTTTTACTGTAAAACATAATAAGATGTGAGTGATATGACGATAAACCCTCTCTCCATCTTTACTTGGAACGAGGTTTCATTTCATCTCATGGTGTGATGGGGGTAAGTTTAGTCAATTTTTGCACAAATCTTGGTGTGGGAATGCGAGAGACAAGTCCAAAATAACCGTGACTAACTACTACTTATTTTATTATTATATATCGTTCTCATTCCTTCTTCATGGGTACCTAAGAAAGTAGAAGAAAATGATGCTTTTTAATTAATAATTCAAGGGTATGAACATTAAAACTTGATACTGAGAGGGAATTTTTTTCAACTGATTTATTTTGAATCTAAATTGATAGTAATCAAATCAGTACGGAAACTTGATGGTTCGAAAAAAGTCTAAATTGATAGATTTTTTTTAAAATTATTGCTGTGTTTAATAATTATTATTTTTATTCGTTTCTTATATTGAGGTACTTAGCTGACAAAGATGTGAAAATGAAATAGTCTTTCCGAATATTGGTTACAATAATTGGCATCTGGAACTCTTCTTATTCTTATTAATTATATTAACCAAACCAATTCATACTTTTCTTCAACAACCCCGGCATATGAGTTATCCGGCCAGATTCATAATATAGTATAGCCGCGTTCACATTTTATAAAATTAATACTACCTCCGGTCCTAATTATAAGACCCAATTGACTTATTTGAGGAGATTAAGGAGGTAAGTTAAGTTAGTTATTTGTAATAAATAAGTGTTGTTATTCCTAAAATATCCTTGCTAATTAAGTGTATTGGCTAGAACTATCATTATTAGAAGGACTATCTTGGAACAAAATGCATAAATATGAGAGACAAAATGGATTGGGGTCTTATAATTAGGACCAAACAAAAAGTCAAAAGGGGTCTTATATTAAGGACCGGAGGTAGTAATAAATATATGGGCATTTTGGCACATTAATTGATTAAATAATAATTAAGAGAGAGAGAGAGAGACATATTCAAATTCAATCGGCAGCCAATCTTACCCAGGTAATTAATTAAGACCTTGTTACCAGCCATTCAGTGTTTAACTATTCATGCTTCGACAAGTGGCGCAATTTGTTCTCGAGAAGGAATTAAGCCGCCAACGAGAAAAATTCCAACTATTTTCAGGTGTTTGGTAAAGTTATTTCATTAATAAAATATTCATAGTCCGTTAAAAAATGAAAACAAAAACTCAGTCTTGCTCGATCTTCGTGTAAATTTTAAAAAATAGACCAAATCAACGCCTCCTTCTGCAGCTTATAAATACACCTGATTGCCATGCAACGATCTCATCCCTCACAAACAGCAAATTATTTATACAGCAGAAACAAACCAAGAGTTGCTATATCAGCAGAGAAAACATGAAGACTTTGATCCTTATTGCCTTCTTGGCTCTCTCATCTTCTGCCGTCTTTGCCTTTGATCCCAGCCCACTTCAGGACTTCTGTGTTGCTATTAACGAAACCAAGACCGGTGGTGGTACGTATAGTATTATTAGCTTTCTTCTCCCCACCCATTTCTAATTCCATTTCCATTATGAAAAGCACGCATCTCAACGTCTTTCCTTTATTTGTTTTTGCAGTTTTTGTGAATGGGAAGTTCTGCAAGGATCCCAAGCTTGTCTCTGCCAATGATTTCTTCTACGGCGGACTGAAACAAGGAGACACATCTGGTCCACTCGGATCAGCAGTGAGCCCGGTTGCTGTAAACGAAATCCCAGGGCTCAATACTTTGGGCATATCGTTGGCTCGCATAGACTTTGCCCCTAAAGGCTTAAACCCTCCACACACCCATCCTCGAGGCACTGAGATTCTTGTGGTTTTGGAGGGAAAACTTCTAGTGGGTTTTGTTACGTCCAACCCAGAGAATCGCTTATTCACCAAAGTACTGCACAAGGGAGACGTGTTTGTGTTCCCAATTGGTTTAATTCACTTCCAACTCAACGTGGGTTATGAAAATGCAGTCGCCATTGCTGGTTTGAGCAGTCAGAATGCAGGAGTCATCACCATTGCGAATGCTGTGTTCAAATCAGACCCTCCAATTTCTGCTGAAGTTCTCACCAAGGCTTTTCAAGTGGATAAGAACATAATTGCTGCTATTCAGAAACAGTTATAGATAGAAAATTAATATCATTCATTTGAGTTTGAAATGATTTAATTTGTTTCTGGGTTTGCCTATCATAATAATGTTTGAAATGATTAATTTGTATCCTATGTTTTATGATTGAATAAAATAAGCGATATATGCGCACATTAAGTTAATTATGCCTTTACATATGTATGTTGAAATTAAAAATATATATCAATGAATGCAACCAAGCCCTTAGCAATATTATTGAGGGCGAGAGTTTATTCTTTTGATCTCTACAAATTACATCCATACATTTCTGAAGAAGATCCAGCATTTTTCTGCCCAATTCTACGTACTAAAGTAACTCTACCACAACAGAAAATTAGTTCTGATTTATGAAAGCCGAAGGAGAACAAATAATCTGTTGTCAGATATTATCCCTCAGTTTGGTGAATATAGAGTGTAATTGAGGATTAAACTTTATTTGTGTGCTACAAATTAAACAAAGCGAAGGTGATTATTTATCCATCTTTGCTTTGATCATACTTCTCTGCCTTCACCATATTGATCGAACTTCTACGCAAGCAGGATGTTCTCACAAATGTTATTTATTTTTGTGAATTTTAGTATATGTAGTGTTAAAAAGTGAAGGAACAGATGAGACAAAATATATCATTTCTTGTCTTTTTGTTCGAAAGTATTGTTTGAAACAACACCCACCCACACACACACACATATACACATATATTATTTTATGCATATATTCTTCTGAAACAAATGCATTAATTAAATTATGCTCCGGAGACTGGATGAATGATAAGTGACTCTGAGATTACTTGCGTTATGATGCATCATGCATTGTAATTAATTCAATAGCATCCATCAGTCTGGACTACTTGTCGTTACGTGGAAATGCTTCCAATTTACAAAACCAAGTCGTACATTTCTTCGATTTTCAACCGACTTCGGTCAATGGAGACAAGCATGAACCGTTCCAGAGATAATATTAATAACTTATCAAACTTGAATGGGAGACACATTCAAAAAGTAAGGAAAAATTACAATAAAGTCCCACATAAAAGAATTAAATACAAAAATATCTCTTAAAATTATCAAATTATTTTGAAGTTTTAAGAGAACTCATTGCAAAAGAATTTATTTGTTTAATTACCAAATTGTTTTTTTTAAAATCTGCATTGATAACTGAAAGAGTGGTTACGTTGTTGACAATTTAAGGTGTAAGAAGTAACAACTATCACAACATGTATTGACAAATACATTAGATTTTGTGATGTGCTGAGAAAATTTGTTGTCAATACCTATCATGATAGTTGTTAATTCTTACCCCTTAAGTTGTCAATACAAATTTTTTTAAAAAAAGATAATTTGGTAATTAAACAAATAAATTTTTTTTGCAATGAAGTTTTTGACACTTCAGAATAATTTGATAATTTTTAGAGACATTTATTAATATAATTTTTTTGAGTGAGACCTTATTACAATTTTCCCTTTAAATAATCTATAGACAAACGTCGTACGTAATTCATTCAACTGAACAGCGTGCTAAGCCGTAAAAGTACTTAGACCTTACTGTTTGCTGTAAATTATTGCTCAGAATTGACTGTATCAGCCGTTTGTTATGTGTGTTTGACAATTAATATATATTTTGTGACGTCGGAAAGGGAGAAAACACAAGACAATAAAAGTACCTTGCTTGAAGCTTGAACTGTTGCAGAATATAATTCATTCAATAAAAAACTATATAGTTCTTATCAAACATTTTAAATTATGTGACGATATATAAATAAAAGTAGAACTAATTTCCACTTTCTGTATACTCTCGACGTTGTGCTTTCATGGTTAATTAATATTCACAAAACTTGCCTGCTTGCCATATGCATCATCTCACGAGGTAGATGGAGAAATTTTTACTGTAAAACATAATAAGATGTGAGTGATATGACGATAAACCCTCTCTCCATCTGTACTGGAACGGGGTTTCATTTCATCACATGGGGGTAAGTTTAGTCAATTTTTGCACAAATCTGGGTGTGGGAATGCGAGAGACAAGTTCAAAATAACTGTGACTAACTACTACTTATTTTATTATTATATATCGTTCTCATTCCTTCTTCATGGGTACCTAAGAAAGTAGAAGAAAATGATGCTTTTTAATTAATAATTCAAGGGTATGAAGCATTAAAACTTGATGCTGAGAGGGAATTTTTTTCAACTGATTTATTTTGAATCTAAATTGATAGTAATTAAATCAGTACGGAAACTTGATAGTTAAAAAAAGTCTAAATTGATAGATTTTTTTAAATTATTGCTGTGTTTAATAATTATTATTTTTATTCGTTTCTTAGATAAAATTGGAAGGATAATTTTTATATAACAGCAATTATAAGGACAATTTTATTCATATCTTTATTTATTACTTTCATATTTAATAATTTTGTGTACGAAACAACTCGTTAGAACAACTTCTAATTCATTTGCATCAAGTATATATTGAGGTACTTAGCTGACAAAGATGTGAAAATGAAATAGTCTTTCCGAATATTGGTTACAATAATTGGCGTCTGAAACTCTTCTTATTCTTATTAATTATATTAACCAAACCAATTCATACTTTTCTTCAACAACCCCGGCATATGAATTATCTGACCAGATTCATAATACTACCTACGGTCTTTAATATAAGAGCTAGTTGAGTGATTAAAGAAATAGTTAAGTTAGTTATTTGTAATAAATAAGTGTTATTTTTCCTAAAATATCCTTACTAATCAAGTGTTTTGGTTAGAACTACTATTATTATAAGGACTATTTTGAAAAAAATAGATAAATATGAGAGACAAAATGTATTGAGGTCTTATATTTAAGACTAAAATAAAAATCGAACAAACTCTTATATTAAGGACTAAAGATAGTATAATATAGCTGCATTCACATTTTATAAAATTAATATAATAAATATATGGGCATTTTGGCACCTTAATTGATTAAATAAATAATTAAAAGAGAGAGAGACATATTCAAATTCAATCGGTAGCCAAATCTTGCCTAGGCAATTAATTAAGACCTTGTTACTAGCCATTCGGTGTTTTAACTAGCTTTGACAAGTGGCGCAATTTTTTCTCGAGAGGAATTAATCGCCAATGAGAAATACTCCAACTATTTTCAGGTGTTCGGTAAAGATATCTCATTAATAAAAAAATTAAAACAAAAACTCAGTCTCGTTCGATCTTCGTGCAAATAAAAAAATAGACCAGATCAACCCCTCCTCCTGCAGCTTATAAATACACCTGATTGCCATGCACCGATCTCATCCCTCACAAACAGCAAATTATAAGAGTTGCTATATCAGAAGAGAAAACATGAAGACTCTGATCCTTATTGCCTTCTTGGCTCTCTCATCTTCTGCTGTCTTTGCCTTTGATCCTAGCCCGCTTCAAGACTTCTGTGTTGCCATTAACGAAACCAAGACCGGTGGTAGTAAGTATTAGTTACATATCAGCTTTCTCTTTCCTCACTTCCAATCCATTTCCATTATGAAAAGCACGCATCTCAACGTCTTTCCTTTATTATTTGTGCAGTTTTTGTGAATGGGAAGTTCTGCAAAGATCCCAAGCTTGTCTCTGCCAATGATTTCTTCTACGGCGGACTGAAACAAGGAGACACATCTGGTCCACTCGGATCAGCAGTGAGCCCGGTTGCTGTAAACGAAATCCCAGGGCTCAATACTTTGGGCATATCGTTGGCTCGTATAGACTTTGCCCCCAAAGGCTTAAACCCTCCACACACCCATCCTCGAGGCACTGAGATTCTTGTAGTTTTGGAGGGAAAACTTCTAGTGGGTTTTGTTACGTCCAACCCAGAGAATCGCCTATTTACCAAAGTACTGCACAAGGGAGACGTTTTTGTGTTCCCAATTGGTTTGATTCACTTCCAACTCAATGTGGGTTATGAAAATGCAGTCGCCATTGCTGGTTTGAGCAGTCAGAATGCAGGAGTCATCACCATTGCGAATGCTGTGTTCAAATCAGACCCTCCAATTTCTGCTGAAGTTCTCACCAAGGCTTTTCAAGTGGATAAGAACATAATTGCTGCTATTCAGAAACAGTTATAGATAGAAAATTAATACCATTCATTTGAGTTTGAAATGATTAATCTGTTTCTGGGTTTGCCTATCATAGTAATGTTTGTTGTAATGGTTCTTTGTATCTTATCTTTCATGATTGAATAAAATAAGCGATATATGCGCACATTAAGTTAATTATGCCTTTATATATGCATATATGTTGAAATTAAAAATATATATCAACGAATGCAACCAAGCTATCATTGCAACATTGAGGGCTAAAGTTTATTCTTTTGATCTCTACAAATACATCCATACATTTCTGAAGAAGATCTAGCATTTTTCTGCCCAATTCTACGTACCAAAGTAACTCTACCACAACAGAAAATTAGTTCTGATTTAGAAAACAGAAAGGAGAACAAATAATCTGTTGTCAGATGTTATCCCTCAGTTCTGATTCTGGTGAATATAGAGTGTAATTTAGCGTTTAAACTTTATTTGTGCGCTACAAATTAAACAAAGCGGGTGTGATTATTATCCATCTTTGTTTTGATCATGCTTCTCTACCTTCACGATATTGATCGAACTTCTACACACACAGTATGTTCTCACAAGTATTAATTATTTTGTGAATTTTAGTCCATATAGTTTCGCCAACTTATCCATCACGTGTTAAAAAGTGAAGGAACAAACGAGACAAAATATATCATTTCTTGTCTTTTTGTTCAGAAGTATTGTTTGAAACAACAGCCACATATATATTATTTTATGAATATATTCTTCTGAAACAAATGCATTAATTAAATTATGCTCCGGAGACTGGATGAATGATAAGTGATTCTGAGATTACGTGGGTTATGATGCATCATGCATTTTAATTAATTCAATAGCATCCATCAGTCTGGACTACTTGTCGTTACGTGGAAATGCTTCCAATTTACAAAACCAAGTCATAGATTTCTTCGATTTTCAACCGGTTTCGGTCGATGGAGACAAGCATGAACCGTTCCAGAGATAATAACTTATCAAACTTGAGTGGGAGACACGTTTAAAAAATAATGGAAAAATACAACAAAGTCCCACCTAAGAGAATTAAATACCAAAAAGTCTTTTGAAATTATTAAATTATTCTGAAGTCTCAAGAAACTTTTTAGCAAGAGAA